ATAGATAAATCAAACAGGGGAGAGTTTAAGGGTAGGTACAAAGAACAACATCAATCAAAATTCCCAATATCTCAAAAGCGCAAAACAATCCTATCATGGTTTACAAGATTTACAGGGTATTACTCTTGACTTCCATACATAAGTCAAAAATTCTGCGACAGATAGTGTTGTTGCTGGACTCTTGTCTGCTAGGAAAAAAGATAAGTCCCTATCCAGAAAGTCTCTCTGCATAGGGAAGAGAGGACGAATCAAGATATTGCGCATAGCGGAATATTTAGGACAGCGAAAAAGAATGTGGGTAACAGAATCGGGTTCCCCAAGATTACAGTTGCAGAGTCTATCCTTATACGGGACACCCCTGTATCTACCTGAGACCACTACTGAAGGGAAAAGGGTAAATAGTAAGCTGCTTTCACTTTTTAACTGAATAGTGAGTTTCGAATCCACAAGGTCTCTTTGCATCATATCCATAATACCTCATCAGACCATTGAGCACAGTATGTGCTTGTACACAGTCCAGTAACAATTGGCTTCTGATTGCATATGGAGCGCTGCTACAATGCCTTTGCTAACACTACATTGTGCTGGTGTCCTATGGAGTAATGTTCATAATAATAATAATAATAAAAAAAAATTGGTCTTATTTGCCTCCGTTCTATTGGTTTATTCCAATATTTGCAGCGTGCTGTTGTTTTAAATAACTATTTTTTTTCTTCGGTAATTTTTTTTTGCCTCTGTGGTTAGATAATTCTGCTTATCTTCTTTGATGACTAAATGGAATTATAGGAATATACAGAGATACAGAGTATCCTCATCCAAAGTTAAATAATGTTTCATAAATATACAAGTTAAAAAAAGAAATCACAAAGATATAGAATTAATGATGCTTTAAATAGGAGAAAAATAAGCATTCAAGCTACAAGCATAGATTGCATTGCTGAACATTTCTAAGGCATTCTTTCTTTAAATGTCATGAATTATTCATCCTTCTTCCATTGCAGTAATCCTTCTCCCCCTCCATTTTCCCCTTTTGTAAGTTCAATACCAGTTGCTTTATTTGTACTAAAACATTTTCCATGTCAAACATTTTTTTTTTTTAAAAAAATCAAACTCTGAAAGAATTCCCTGTGGCATTGCTTCTTCACAGCTGTCATGCCTCTATGGTTTGAAATGGCTTGAAATATATATATATATATATACACACACACACGTAACACACTTTAAAGTAAATTTATTAGTATCTAGACCACACCCTCTGGTTCACCTGCGGCTACAGTTTTCTCTTTTGCCGATAATAAGCATATTTTCATTCCTCTGCATTTTTCTCCCCTAAATCACACAGATGTCCCTTCTAGAACTGAATCTGAGCCTACATTGAAGAGTATACAGCTAACATACCTAATCCTGCCGCATTATATAATAGCATTATCTTGAGAACAAAGCGTGGCCCTACACACCATTGGAATGTTCTGCTGACAATGGTAAAATTAAAACAGGAGAACATTCTTTATGGGGAGGGGCTCTCGCTAAGGGTGGGGAGGGGTGACGAAAGTTTTAAAAATTTAATTACATCTCTCTCCCATTCTAATTTTCTCAGCACAGCAATGGATCAAGGAGCTTCTTGGTAGCTGCTTTGGCAATCTATCAGTCAACATGTTGTAGCAATTTTTTTCAAATTTGTTTCTGGATTTGGAATGCTTGCGTGAGGACCCATTCTCTTTAATTTTATAAAGGGAAACCAAACAAGTTGGAACAAGTTCCTTGTAGGTATAGGTGTGTGCTAGTCTTGATTACTAGGAGAATGGCTGAGTGAAACAAATACAATCCCTCGTCATTCATTCTTGCACACACTAACCTCCTCAGCGTTCCTGCTTAGACGATTGTCTATTTACATTACTTCTTCTATTGTTTACATGTACAATGGAGCTTACAAGCCACGGGAAGATTAGCCAACTTCCCTTTCACTTGTCAGAGTTCCCAATTATTTTAAAGCAGCCGCACATACTTGTAGTACATTCTCCTAGATGTAGAGCAAAGGAATGTTTCCCATTTTTAAACTAAAATGGATCATATAGATTGTGGAAGTGAGTTTCCTGCATGGAAGGCACATTATGCAGCACGCATGTCAAAACGTCTGCATAGCAATGTCCACGTGAATATTATCCCTTCCTGCAAGCATCGTGTGCTGTAGACGTTTACCTACTATATCTTCTGCACTTGGAGCTAATACAAAATAAATGTATAAAAATGGCTACTATTTTGGCTTTCATTTGTACTTGGTAGATTTTACCATGTGTAAGCAGCTTTTTTTTCATTCTGGCAAGTTATTTTCATAGGGACTAAGGTTTCTAGACTCTTCTGCATTCTAATTTGCCCATTCCCCCCCCCCTATCATATTTGTGGTGTGTATCTAAAACACTATATTTTTAGAGAGTTAATCTGTAATTTGATCCTTTTCTATAAAATAATTCACTTTTCTGTTGTACAATGGTAAAATTGAAGACAAAACACACAGAAAAATGATCACATGCATGCATGTCAAAAAATTACAGTTGGCTTTTGCATCTGCAAAGGGAAAGCGAATGACTGAAGTAAGCCCTGTTTTGATGATGGGCCAGGGGCCAACAATCAGGCTGACATTAGCTCACTCATTGCATAATGATGAAGTGCAGAAAAAGACAATTGTACAGCTGACATCAACCACCATTGAAGTTGAGGGGGTCTAAGCCAAGTAGACCCTGAAGCTTGTGCAGAGTTGCTGGGACTTAGCACACTTCACACTGGCCACCAGCATCCCTCTAAGGCATGGTCCACCAGGAAATTTCCCTGGGAGTTAAATGGCCAGCCCACCCCTGATAGAATGATAGGAGAAACAACCAGGTAAAAGTATCTGTTTAAGCTTTTAAAATCTTTGCTCAACTGTAAGTGTGATACTCGGCTACAGTGCTAGCCAAGGCGTGTGCACACATCTCTAGGAGCAAGTTCTATTGAGCTCATACTAAAGCATGCCAAAAACTTGCCAAACGAATGTGACCAAAGCATACGAACATGAACTGATACCGGTCAACCGAACCCTGTACTGTACACTCCAGCTACCAAGTATTCTCTGAGGTATCTGGCTAAGTCTTGAGACTCAGATCATTGTAATGGGACTGAACCACATTAATGTTACTCAACCTGGGGATATCTGCATGCAAAATTATACTGCTGAGACCACAATTAACCAGGTTTGCAGAAATACATGTGTACAGCCTGCAGTGATTCACTGGTCATCTCTGCTTTAGATAAAACAAAGGCTAGTATTTCCACCTTTGATCTGCATATGAAAACTACAACACTACATTGTCCCTTATATTACGTTCAGAAACCCAAGAGAGAAAAATCGCATCTTGCGTCTCATATTATTTATTGATTTGATTTTTACCCCCACTTTATTCCCCGGTGGATACCCAAAGTGGCTTACAAAATACTCCTCTCTTCTGTTGTATTCTCACAACAATCCTGTGAGGGAGGTTAGACTGAGAGTGTGGGAAAGTGGGGATTCCACCCAGCATCTTTCATATCCTAGTCCAGTGCGCTAACCAGTACATCACACTGGCTGTCATTACTATTGGTGGCTACTCTTAAGAATCATATAGCAGTGACAGCAGCACTTCAGACTGGCCCGTAGCTAATGTGGGGCTCACGGGGCCTGGCCCCCTAGTGTTTCTTCTGGGCCCCCTCCCTCCTGGGCAAACCAGTATCTCCCATATCCTAGTCCAGTGCGCTAACCAGTACATCACACTGGCTGTCATTACTATTGGTGGCTACTCTTAAGAGTCATATAGCAGTGACAGCAGCACTTCAAATATGGAGAGAATGATACAAACAAGCAGGGGGTTGTGTAGAACCATATTCAGGAATCCCTTGTAATAGTCCTTTAAAAGCTATGCTTGCATAGGACGGGGTATAGGATGGTCAACAGTACTCTGAATGCTTCTGGGTAGCCTCAAATAGTTAACAAAACCTTCAGCAGTTTATATTGGAAAACATACAGCTTTATTTCTACACCTATACTATCTCTTTCTGAAAGTCACTGCAAAATTTCAATTAGCAGCAGCATCCAGTCCCAACCACTGCTTCTGAAATTTTTACATTTAACATCCAAAGAAAAAGCTATAACAATTTTTTGTTTAATATTCATGGTGGGGGGGACAATATTAATAAGTAAAATAAAGATGCCTCTTCTGGGCCGAGGTTTTGGTTTACAAAGAATATACAAATGAAAATAAGGTTGCCTTTTATTAACTTAAATGTCTTCATACCCTGGATTTCTTTGCTAACGTGGCTTTAAACATCTGAAGTCCTGTTTGCAAGGCGGCTCAGAAAGTAGCTTCAGGCCATTATATCCCTAATTGAATTCCCCGGGAGCCTAGTAAACTCAAAGGGATAAAGAAAGAAATCATAACATTCGTTAAATCTCCAAACATAGCTCACTGTGAAGTTGCACGACCTGCTACAAGCCCAAATTGATGATTGCAGCTGAACTGCTGAAACCTCTGCTATTTAGATGGAAATCGTACCAAATACTCCCCATTGCAAGCACACAAATTAAATCATGCCTACCTTCACTTTTTATCTCTAATTATGGGTGAGAAGGCTTCCACAAAAGACTAGTGTGTGTCCATGCTGATGATAAAAGGCCTAAAAAGAGATATATGTAACCTCCCTATAAAGAGCCAAGCTACTCTCACATGCAAATTGGATAGGAACTGGGTCAATAAATTAAAAGGAAATGATTTTTGTGGTACACAGAAATAAAATAAATATGGTCCCGAATAGCCAATTCCCTGAGCATCTCTCTAAGAAGAAATTTTCATCCAGACTTGCGAAACACAGCACACATTTTCTTACCCTCAGCTAACCTGTTTGTGTATCACTATCCATACCAGACAGATCACGAGAGAAGTCATGGTTAATATCTTAACACGTTCAATAGCTTCATATCCCTGTCAACTTACCTGGTTTATAAGTTATTCCTGGGGGGAAGAGGAAACCCTGCTGGGCTGCGGCGGCCGCTGCCAACGTCCGCTGGTCGTGTGGAAAAATTGGGATCATGAGCGGAGGCATGTGACCCTGAACCTGCTAAACAGAAGACAGTCTTTGATCAGAAATTGCACAGATTTGTCTCGACAGATACCTCTCCGGCACTGATAGTGTTCTCGTGTTCAGAGTCCCAGCGAATCTTCTCCTTACCATAATTCTTGCCAATTTCACATTATCACATCAAAGCCCATGCTAACATCTCTTTCCTTCAGAGTCAAAGGTTTAAGAGTCTTATTCAGCTGCACTGCTCCTTGTTCTACCTTGCTCGGTTTAATTCTTTGCTAGCATTTATCTATGCAACTAAGGACTGCTTTTTTTTTTTGCACAATTCAATATTTTTCTGTGCTTGCTTTTATTTGGTTTTAAATATTGCTGTATGACCATGTGCAACTTTTCATATATTTTGAACATTTTTAAGCTTCAGCTATTTTAGTGTTAGCATGATCTCCAAATAATTGTTTTCAGACTAGTAACACTGCATTGTAAGTATCCTCTAAAACAAAACTGACATCCCATGCAATACGTACCTCCCCATAAGTGTATTGTCTGTCTAGGACATTTTATGGCTTTAAGCACAGTCACTTGCCCTGGCAATTATAGAGGGACATTTAGACTATTGTACCAGAATAAGTCCCATTATATAAAATTCCATTCAACATTACATGGATCAAAGAGCATAAAACTTACAAATCAGAACTAAGAAGTATAATAACGAATAGCTTTAAGAGCTCTATAATCAGAACATAATTTCAGCCCCTTCTTCTGTTGCAAAGTAGTGGTACCAACTGCTGTTTGAAAGAAACAATAAAATTCATGGACTTTTTTGGCTTTAATTCCTAAAAGAAAGTTGTCTTGCTGGTAAAAATCCATATGTTGACCTATGACACTGTTTAAATAGTACCACATTTTCTTGTCATATCCATGTTTTTCTCCCAACCCCTGATGCAGTCCAGAAAGGCTACTGTGTGTGTGTGTGTCTATGAGCTAATTTACCAACAAATCTTCTCTGGGGGAAAAGCCCTAAGATGTAGGTTAATAAGGGTCAAGCAAAATATAAACACTTTACAGTATTTTTCAGAATCCATTTCTCAAGAAAATCAACTTATAATAAAAAGGTCTTTGTGCAATTACTGCCATAGCACTGGGGCATGAAAGAAAGTAGCTTTGAACAGCCATTTCTTTCATTTTAGCTGACTAAGCCTGGTTCTCTCTGTTAGCAACACACATAACGTGGTTAAATTGAAGTTGATCCCCATGTGTCCAGCACTGAATTTGTACAACATGACTGAGTTTGTGGCATGATGATAATTCCTATGGCTGTGTGAGTAAACAACAAGCGAACACAATGGCATTGTTTAATGGCAAAGGCAAAAAACCTACCATATTTAGTTCAAACTGGATAAAAAGTGTTTTACAATCACTTGGGATGCTTTCAGGGAAGATACCGAATCACTGGGTCCTTCACATGACTCCTCAATTCAGTTAATAGATTAGAACAGCTCAAAATAATGGAAAGAAACCAACAGAAACAGAATTTAGATGAACTAAATAGTTCATCAAGCACTGGACATCTGTGAAAGTGAAAGAAACATGTCCCTCGAGTGTAAATTATTTATTATCACTATACATAAGGGCAGAAGTAGATATTATGGAAGACATAATACCAAGATCTACATCTTCACATGACCCACTGAAGCCTAATTCATGCCTAATTCATGCTGTGAAATCGCAACATATCTTTGAACTCTACATTGCCTTCGGACAAGCAGGTTGTTTGTCTATCAACCAACATTGGTTCACCTGCTGCAGCTGTTTCTACAGAAAGCTGACTTTTCCTCAGTTACCTGGTAACATCCAGATTAGATTACTGTCATGTGCTTTACATGGACTGCCCTTGAAGACAGCTGGAAAACTTTAGTTGATATAAAACATGGCTACAATGGTCCTTAATGGGGTGTTCTCAGATGATCCCATAAAACCAGTTAGGGTTGCCAGGTCCCCGGTCCAGGCAGAGGTTTCCCCACTTTTGCAGCCCCCTTTTCACCATCGGCCAGCCGGGTAAACCCTGCCCACTAATGCCCCCAAATGCAAAAAACTAGAGCATAATCCCCCGACATTGGCAACATGATGATGTCATTCCGGCTGATGTCATCACAGTGTGCACGCTTTGCATGCAAGCCAGAACATCCTGGAATGGCCCTTGAAGCCCCCTACTGGCAGCCAGGTAGGACCCGGCAACCCTAAAACCAGCGCTGTTCCAATGGATTACAGTCTGTTACTGGGCTCTACTTAAGAAGCTAATTTTGTACTTTAAAGATCTAAACAATTTAGAGTCCAGAGTATCTACACGGATGCTGTCACCCACATCAAACTACCCAGATTAGGAGATCAATGGGAGCCAGCATGAGCTGAGGTTAGGTTGGTTTCAAACTAGTGGAAAGCTTTTTGTCCACTGCCCACAGATAATGAAGCTTTCTCGCTCAAGAGGAAATGCTGAATAATTGGAATTATTTTATTTTAATTGGTACACCACTTTGAACATCTGTGGATGGTAAAAACGGTTGACAAATGTTTTATAAATGAATGAAGAAATCAAATAAGATTCTTGCTGGATCAGACCAACATTCCATCTAGAACAGCATCCTTTCCCCCAAAGCAACTGACCAGATGTCCTGGAAGATCACAGAGGTGGCACAAAGGCCAAAGCCTCCCCCTGCTGCTCCCAGTTTGGTGTAGTGGTTAAGTGCGTGGACTCTAATCTGGGAGAACTGGGTTTTATTCCCCACTCCTCCACTTGCACCTGGCTGGATGACCTTGGGCAAGCCATAGTTCTGGTACAGCTGTTCTTGAAAAAGAGCAGTTTCTGGCAGAGCTCTCTCAGCCCCACCTACCTCACAGGCAGGGCTGGCTCACTCACTAGGCAAACTAGGTGATCACCTAGAGTGGGCTGCACCCGGCCCCGTACTCTGGAAGTTTCTTGATTATTTGTGTTTTTCATTCTTCCTAAAATGCATTTATTTTTGAAAATTGGTGGGCGCACGGGGGGGGGGGGTGCCAGAAGGGATCCTCACCTAGGGGGCAAAATAAGCTGGGACTGGCCCTGCTCACAGGGTGTCTGTTGTGGGGAGGGGAAGGGAAAGGAGTTTGTAAGCCACTCTGAGACACCTTTGGGTAGTGAAGGGCGGGGTATAAATCCAATCTCTTCTCTCTCTTCTTTTTCTTGCCAGCAAAAGAAATTCAGATTAACTATAAATCCATCAGAGGGAGTAAGCCTCTGAATATGGAAGGTCCCACTCAGCTGTCATGGCTATCAGTCATGGATGGACCTATCCTTTATAGATTTCTCTAATCCCCTCATTTTAAAGCCATGATAGCAGGCATCATCACCGCCTCTGGCAAGAAACAAGTGAGTTGTCATGGGAAGATACTAGTCATTTATTTATTTTCTTACTTCATTTAGCCTTTCTCCCCAAGTGGTACCCAAAGCAACTTACATAATTCTCCTCTCCTCCTGAATATACCAGTCATAAATTTCTCCCGTGGCCCTGATTTTTAGTAGTTCAAGAATTTCAAGAATAGAAAGATTCGATTTGCTTTTTCTACATCATGCACAATTTTATAAACCTCTATCATATCCTCTTAGTCCCAAATTCTTTAATCTTAGGGAAAGTGTTTCAACACTTTGATAATATTTTGAATGTCCTTTTTGAGATGTGATGACAAGAACCACACAGTATTCCAAATATATGCACACCATAGAACTATATAATATAACAATAGGCACCACTGTATTTCCAGTTCATTTTCTAAAAATCCCTACTATAGAATTTGTCTTTTTTAAACTACCATCTACCATCTACTACTTTTTAAAACTATCACCATGTAGACATTTTCTTTGAGCTGTCCACCATAGGGTTCCCAAGTCAGATCGGCGCTGGAGCGGGGGACTCCAGCGCTGCTACGGGAGTGCGCATGCGTGCCGCAACCCTGTCACCTGGAAGTGACGCGACCACGCCAGGCACGCTGGGGGGGCCCACGACCATCTGAGGGAAAACCATAGAGTTTTCCCTCGGATGACCGTGGCCCCACCCCCAGTGTGCCCAGCATGGTCGCGTCACTTCCAGGTGACATGCACGTCGCGTGCTTTGGGGTGGGGTTCCCCCCGGGGCCCGATCCACCGGCGGAGGGGAACGGGCCTCTAAGGCAGGGGTTTCCCCACCCCCCAGGGGGACTTGGCAAGCCTAGTCCACCATAACCTAAACATTTCATTCCAGGTTAGTCACCATGTGTTCAGACCGCATAATTTTTTATGTTAAATTAGGATTAGGAGGTAGGCAAAGTTTTTCATGGCTCACCCCTGGTTTAGATAATTTAAGAACAAGTTAAACACTGCCAGTCCCTTGGGACCTTCTGCTTACTGTTGTATTGTGAGAACTGCCTGTTACTCCTATCTTCTGCTTCCTGTCCTTTAAGTAGTTATGAATAAGCAAGATTCCAGTCCAGTGGCGCCTTAGAGATAAACAAGATTTTTTGGGGGGTGCATGAGCTTGTTGTTCTCTAAGGTGCTCGTTCTCTAATCTTCTTGGTCTTTAAGGTGCTACTGGAATGGAAGCAAGCTGTTCTACTGCAGACCAACATGGCTACCCTCTGAAACAACTAATACACAAGATGTTCTGTTATCTTATTCCATGATAATCTACAGGATTACTCTTAACCACCTGCTTGTTACCATTCTCAAAGAACTCCAACAGGTTTAGCAAGCTTACACATTACACACAACAACTCAGGATCAAGTCCCGGACTGGATCACTTGTAGCCGATTCAATTATTAAGTGTTACAAAGCACAATAACAGGGGTCATTTCCTGGAGGAGTGCACAGGAACGGAGCTCTGGCAGTAAAGAGCCCAGGGGGCAGGCACATGCAACAAGTCCCACCCCCTGCTCCCAGCAGCCCTCAGTCAGAGCAAGAAGCAGCCAGGAAAGTTGTAGAGCTCCTCCCCGGCCCCCTGGTCCAAAACAGTCCGGTGGCACCTTTAAG